CACAGTAACTATTGTGCAAGCGAGGAGAAAGCAAAAATTTTACAAACATCAAACGTATTATTAGGAGAAACGTGAGGAGCCCAAAGAGCATACATGTTCTGCAGTCAAGGGAGGAGGGCGGGTGTTTCGAGCGTAGCGTAATGGAGCTGTGTAGGACTGAGGGGGAAAAACCTGGAGCGATTGCTTAAATGTGCGCCGCGATAAAGTTAGCTGCTCCAAGCGTAGCGTGTGTTGCCCCTTCCCCGTATAGGTCACCTCCACTGGCCGGAGGCAGGCGTAGCAGGTCTTCCCGTAAGTCGAGCGGCAGGGCCCCCAGTAGTCGATGCAGTAGATGTCTCCTCACGTGTAATCGTCGTGCGGGGAGCCGTTGTGCCTTGTTGCGCGCTCCCTTAAGTAGTTGTGTGACTAGGAACTGGCGAGTAGGATCCTCCCTACCATGCAGCTTGAACATGAAGGGGATTGCCGCAACGTAGGCGCTGAGAGAGCGCAAAGCAAAACCTCGGGACAGCAGCGACTGCAGGAAGTTCGCCAGTGTCGTGGACGAGGCCTTGAACAGACACTCCCGCCCCACTGTTGTTCGATACATACGCCACGTACTCCGCTCACTTATGTTGATACGCTCGCCGTGTCGCGGCCTGCAGGGAGTCGAGCAGCGTCCTTACACTTTCAGGGCAGGTGCTGCGGTTGACTTCTGAGAGTCCTGCGTCTCGCAGGAACGAGGGCCGCAGTACCATTGGAGGACGTGCTGGAACCCCCACTAGATGTGTACTGTACCTCCCACTATATCAAGTGGGGGGTACAGTACACATATAGGAGGTACAGTACACATCTAGGTGGGGGGGTACAGTACACATAGTGGGGGGGGGTACAGTACACATAGGGGGGGGGTACAGTACACATAGTGGGGAGTATAGTACACATAGTGGGGGGGTACAGTACACATCTAGTGGGGGGTACAGTACACATCTAGTGGGGAGTATAGTACACATCTAGTGGGGGTACAGTACGCATCTAGTGGGGGGTACAGTACGCATCTAGTGGGTACAGTACACATCTAGTGGGGGGTACAGTACACATCTAGTGGCCGGATACAGTACACATCTAGTGGGGGGGTACAGTACACATCTAGTGGAGGGGTACAGTACACATGTACTGTAACCCCCCCCCCCAACATGTGTGTACTGTACCCCCCACTAGACGTGTACTGTACCCCCCACTAGATGTGTACTGTACCCCCCCCCCCAATAGATGTGTACTCTACTCCCTATATTAGTTGATTTTATACCCGCATTAGGTCAGGTGATAATACAATGAAGGTGAAAAACATGGGGGGATACATAAGGGATAAACATAGGGGCTGCAGAAGGCTTATTGGCCCATACGAGGCATCTATCTAAACACAAAGATTAATCCAGTGTAATTGGCCTGTTATGTTGGACATTGTCTTCTGTGTTGGCATCCATATGTTCTTGTCTTGTCCTTACTCTCATGGTGGGTAGAGTGCATATATATATATATATATATGCACTCTACCCACCATGAGAGTAAGGACAAGACAAGAACATATCGATGCCAACACAGAAGACAATGTCCAACATAACAGGCCAATTACACTGGATTAATCTTTGTGTTTAGATAGGAGATGCCTCGTATGGGCCAATAAGCCTTCTGCAGCCCCTATGTTTATCCCTTATGTACTCCCTATATGTGCACTGTACCCCCAACCCCAATAGGTGTGTACTGTAACCCCCCCCCCCCCACTAGATGTGTAATGTACCCCCCACTACATGTGTACTGTACCCCCCCCAACCCCACTAGATGTGTACTGTACCCCCCCCCCCCAACCCCCACTAGATGTGTACTGTACCATCCCCTAGATGTGTAGACGATGAGTCACAATAACGGGGCTGAAGATATAATGACCAAATTACACACCAGGAGACGAGGCGTCGACGTTTCGGTCCAGTACGGACCGAAACGTCGTCGTCTCATGTTCCGTTGTGGGGCTTCAATCATGTCTATTTAGCTTCAGCTTTACCAGAACTTTATAAAATATTTCATTCACCTTGTTTAACACGTAGAATCTATAAACTTTATATATGCCTGAAAGGGAAGAACATTTAATTTTTTACTCTCCTGCAGGAGTATCACGTTGGCCAAAGTTTCTCTGTGAGTGTTGACTATGCAAGAGTGTCGCGAAGCACAGGAGAGTCATTAGAATCTGGGGAGGATGCTGAAGATGGCCAAGATAATAATGATATTCAGCTCAGTGCCGTCACAATCTACGGAGGAATTCTCATGCAATAGTTTACATCTTTGAGAACAATGGTAAGGTTTCAAAGTTAAATGGAATAACTTATCATGCTTGCAAATCTAAGTTTGTTTTAACATAAGATTGATTTATCCAAAACTGTTCTCAAGATGCCATAGTACTTGTATGATGACCCTAGTTCCTGTACTGCTAATGTCTTTACTTTCCCTGTGGAAGATTTACAGTTATTACTTACTGTATCAGGCACACACCTGGCACATTACCTGTACTACACACCAGGCGCACACCCTCACGTCCTGTAGTACAGTATTGTACAGTACTGTACTCTGCTGAGTACTGTGCTGTGCAGCAAGATATTAAATACAGCTAAGGTATTAAATAAGATAATTAATTAATTGACACTTTATTATTGTACAACTTCATTCACTTACAAATTGTATCAAACCAGACACTTAACACTGAAATGTGTAAAGGAGGAAATGTATATATTTATCTCAGAATTTTTGGTAATGTGTTTATTGTTGCAGGCGATGAGTCAATAACGTGGCTGATGTTGACCAGACCACATACTAGAAGTTGAAGGGACGACGACGTTTCGGTCCGTCCTGGACCATTCTAAAGTCAATTATTGTGAAGAGGAGGTACAGACAGATAATAAATAGGCAAGACAGACTAGGAGCAAAGTAAGGTGTAGGGGATAGTAGTAATAATGAGAACTGCAGAGAGCCTATTGGCCCATACGAGGCGGCTATTATAACCACCGAATGAGAAGGAGATAGTAATAGGAATAAGAGGATAGCAAGGGAGCGTAGAAGACTATGAACATAAAAAAACAAAAGGGAAGAAAGATAAATGGAAGGGGTAAGCTTATGTTAAGTCGCGTTTGTTAGAAAGATTAGAGCATTTGAGTATATATTGTGTAAGGTAAGAGTCCACAGCAACAGAGCCAGGACTCAAGTTCATGTTGGGTACATGTTGCATATGTGTATAAGAGCCGATTCTAAAAGAGGGCGTCTGTGTAGAGTAGAGGCAGGAAAGATTATTTTGGAGGAAGACCAATCAATGGGATGATTAGAATTCCTCACGTGGCAGAAGAGCATTGTGAGTGTCTGCAGACTTAACACTTCTCTTGTGTTCTTTAAGTCTGTCATTCAGTGTACGGCCAGTTTCACCAAAGTATTGGAGAGGACAAGATGAACAGGAAATAGAGTAGACACCAGCTACTCTTGTTCATCTTGTCCTCTCCAATACTTTGGTGAAACTGGCCGTACACTGAATGACAGACTTAAAGAACACAAGAGAAGTGTTAAGTCTGCAGACACTCACAATGCTCTTCTGCCACGTGAGGAATTCTAATCATCCCATTGATTGGTCTTCCTCCAAAATAATCTTTCCTGCCTCTACTCTACACAGACGCCCTCTTTTAGAATCGGCTCTTATACACATATGCAACATGTACCCAACATGAACTTGAGTCCTGGCTCTGTTGCTGTGGACTCTTACCTTACACAATATATACTCAAATGCTCTAATCTTTCTAACAAACGCGACTTAACACAAGCTTACGCCTTCCATTTATCTTTCTTCCCTTTTCTTTTTTTCTGTTCATCGTCTTCTCCTACGCTCCCTTGCTATCCTCTTATTCCTATTACTATCTCCTTCTCATTCGGTGGTTATAATAGCTGCCTCGTATGGGCCAATAGGCCCTCTGCAGTTCTCATTATTACTACTATCCCCTACACCTTACTTTGCTCCTCGGCTCTCTCTTGCCTATTTATTACCTGTCTACCTCCTCTTCACAAAAATCGACTTGAGAATGGTCCAGGACGGACCGAAACGTCGTCGTCCCTTCACCTTCTAGTGTGTGGTCTGGTCAACATGTTTATGGTGTGTGTCTATATATGTATTAACACGATGTACTAAACGGGGTGAGAATAGCTTGATCTACCTCATCCCTTTGTGTGTATTTTACCTCAAACTTATTTCAACTTCACTCTGAAAGGTAGTGTGGTGCCGCTTTATGCAGTCGTAACGTGTTCAGTACCTCGAGTCGTCGTCGTCGCCTCTCCGGTCGTGGTGGCCAGAGACTGGAGGAACGAGAGGGACGTGTTATTACAACTATTACATTAATCATTACAAAAGATGTAACTTTTATAACGTTAACTTTCTCTGACTTTACAGCCGTTGAAGACGTTACGAGTAACCTTAACATACTGGGCGTTTGGTACATTTGACAATGTTTGCTGTATGGCTACAAGTAAGACGAGACATACGGAACCTGAGACAGACCAGTTGGTCTAGACTGTGTACCTGGATGACCTCCAAGTCTACGTGCTGTGCTCCTTCCTGCTGGACCTGGATCCCACCTTATAAAATAAATATGTACTTTTAGAACCAGTCTTCATCTAGTAATTCTTAGTCCAACATGATGACCATATTGCAAGTTTAATGCACATGTACAAGTCTTAAACATTAATAAACTCACGTCTGAAAACGTTGTTTACGAAGTCTTCCTTATCCTTGGTACTAACTAGCTGGAAACCTGCCAACACTAGCAGTAACAGTTTACTTCAGCCCAGCTGTACGTACATTACAACTCACGCACCATGAGAATTCTTAGTTCTTACCAGCCCTCGTTTCACGTGTCTGCAAGGATTTAAAATTACATTCTCATTTTTCTAAAATGGCACAACATAAGAGCCATGTTGAGCATTCTAACCTGCATCTTTGGTACTCCAAGCATATCTCTCCTTTGATCTATGGGACTATTTCAAACGAGACAATTTTACTATGTTACAAGACATTCCACAGGATGGAGTGTCGAGTTTGCTGTGGCCTTTAAGGCCGAGAGTCAAGCTGGGGCTGGGACCAACGGAAGCTGGGGTTCTGGTTCAGGCTGGACTAGAGCCCGAGGGAAGGTAGTGAGCTGGGATACCTTAAATGCAGCAAAAGGGGGATGGGGTGGAACAACAAGGGTGTCCCTTGAAGAGGGAGCTGTTCCACCTAATAGGCAACGGAAAAGTACTTTCAAACCGGTTATTGTCTTTGGAGAACGCTAGACTTATCCTGAAGGAGGACTTGGGAAAGGAGAGGCGACACAAACTGGTCCAGACGACTGGTTGTGCTCAGGAGACGGGAAGACCACCACCAGGGAGACGTTTGGTGCCATGTAGTGGTACCTGGAGACTACCACACAAGTATTTTAACAATTATGGAATCTGAAAAATACCAGTTTAAAACTACAGTGCATCTACACAACCATGTTCTTGCAGGAGTGTTCATTACGCAAGGTAAAATTATTACATTTTTACCATCTTTGTAATTACGAGAAAGTTAAGCAGGATATTTCAGTTAAATTAGGTATCTTGTTAAGTTATTACTATCCAAGATAATCTAAAACCCATAAACCTCTACGCTAGAGGTTGTAGCTAACCTAGGAAGTACAAACTATTAGTTTAAGCAGAAGGGGGGGGGGGGGGGAAGGGGTGCCAACTTTAAAACTCTAAAAGCATTAATGCTACAACTCTGTATTAACTGACTAGGTCATTTAGTTTACTTTTTTATACCAAATTAAAACTATCAACTATCTTGAGATGATTTCGGGGCTTTTTAAATGCACTATGTGCATTTAACAGACTAGGTGTTAACATTACCTTCCTAGGTAACCGTTAGAGTTAACGTACATGGCTGTACTGTACATTAACGAACTACAACTCTGAACTGCTACAGCGAGCCACTGTGGCCAAGGGCCCGGAGACTAGATTCAGTTTTATTTATGGCCGGTCGGCCGAGCGGACAGCACGCTGGCCTTGTGATCCTGTGGTCCTGGGTTCGATCCCAGGCGCCGGCAAAGACACAATGGGCAGAGTTTCTTTCACCCTATGCCCCTGTTACCTAGCAGTAAAATAGGAACCTGGGTGTTAGTTAGCTGTCACGGGCTGCTTCCTGGGGGTGGTGGCCTGGTCGAGGACCGGGCCGCGGGGACACTAAAGCCCCGGAAGCACCTCAAGGTAACCAAGGGAAAGGGAGGGAGACGTAACAATAGGGGGAGAGGTGTGGGGGGAGCCAGACGGACGCATGTGGGGAGGGGGGACGCGACAAGGAGGAGAGGGAGGGAGGGAGGGAGGGGGGACGCGACAAGGAGGAGAGGGGGGACGCGACAAGGAGGAGAGGGGGGAGGGGGGACGCGACAAGGAGGAGAGGGGGGGAGGGGGGACGCGACAAGGAAAAGAGGGGGGGAGGGAGGGAGGGAGGGGGGACGCGACAAGGAAAAGAGGGGGGGAGGGAGGGAGGGAGGGGGGACGCGACAAGGAGGAGAGGGAGGGAGGGGGGGGACGCGACAAGGAGGAGAGGGGGGGAGGGGGGACGCGACAAGGAGGAGAGGGGGGGAGGGGGGACGCGACAAGGAGGAGAGGGGGGGAGGGAGGGAGGGGGGACGCGACAAGGAGGGGGGGGGGGGAGGGAGGGAGGGAGGTGGGGGGGGGAGGGAGGGAGGGAGGTGGGGGGGGGAGGGAGGAAGGGAGGTGGGGGGGGGGAGGGAGGGAGGGAGGTGGGGGGGGAGGGAGGAAGGGAGGTGGGGGAGGGAGGGGGGAAGGGAGGTGGGGGGGGGAGGGGGGAAGGGAGGTGGGGGGGGGGGAGGGGGGAAGGGAGGTGGGGGGGGGGAGGGAGGGAGGGAGGTAGAGGAGAGGACCCCCCACATACAGCTCACCTTCAAGAGACGAAGCTGGAACTGTATACCAAAAGTGAGGTAAAACAACACTGAAGTGCTTTTTGTCTCATCCTTCCTTATATACCCAGCAGCCAACCAAACCCGCCCGCTGATTGGTTGACACTCACCCTAAACCTCACCCCATTGGTTAACATTTGGCGAGTCTGAAGTGTCAATTAACAATGGGCCAACAGCCATTCCTTCACTTCCCCAAATACGAACGAGTCTCTAATGAAATATTAATCATCCACAATGTTTCAAGTTGTTAATTTCTAAATCTAATCCATATTCCACATACAACATTCTATTGTAAATATTGCAGCAGAACAACAGAGCAACATTTGCAATCTAATCGGCAGTGAAGTAGTAATCGTCCCTCAGTCAAGAACTGGTAATGGCCGCTCCACAACTACAATATATACAATAACAGACTAACAAACACAACAACCCAAAGTTCCTGACACAACACTGGATGATGTTAAATATTTGCTTTCAACTGACTTAACATATTGATCGTTAATGACATATTAAGTGATTTGGTGAAATGTGAGCATTTATGCTATAAATATTAACGTCCAGGATGACTTTGTTCACAATTTTATTCTGCACAACTTGCATCCTCAACTATCACCAAGTGACGCTGGACGGCTCCTCGGCGCTCCTCTCGTCTTCAGAACAAGACTTACTCTTCCTGTCTCCGTCTCCCCAAGGAACTCCTCGAGCGGCTGAAGTCTCAAGACGAGTCTTGTAGGATGTCAGCCGGTTCCAGGCTCCTTCCTACACGCCCTCTACGGCTCCAACCTCTTCAGTTCTGCCTGTTACAGCTGTATAAAACAAAGTCAAATGCCCTTGCTGAGATACCAACTCTAATTTACAAGAAAGCCTCCAGATTTCTAGCTCCTGCCATTGCATTGCTCTACAACAAATCACTTGAACTCCAAACCTTTCCAGATAGTCTAAAAAAGCGAGAGTAACCCCAGCCTATAAATGTAGTGATCTCACTGATGTCAACAATTTCAGACCTATATCAATTCTGCCAACCTTATCAAAAGTATTTGAAAAGCTAATCTACAAACAGTTTTACTCTAGCCAAACACAATATATTTAGCTCTTGCAAATATAGCTTCAGACCTCCCAAAAAGCACTAATGATGCGCTGATTAATGTTATTAACTTGATCCATGCAGCTCTTGATAAAAATGAGTTCCCTGTTGGGTTATTGGTTGACCTACATAAGGCTTTTGACACTGTCAACCACCAAAACCTTCTTACATTACATCATTATGGAGTCGTAACTTGTATAACTGCTGATTTCTGCCCCCCCCCCCCCATCCCTTTCAACACAATTTATACTTTAATCTCAATTAGTATGAAGTTTTAGTCTAAGTGGGGGTTTTCCCACACCTTGCCCGAAACGCTGTGCATATTGGTGGTTTTAGGCATTATATGTACTAGTTCTATCTATAAATACAACATTATGTTTGTAACTCATCATCTATGTAATGTACTTTTACCTGAATAAACATTTCTTCTTAATGGTAGGTGCAGTTTGCATGGATTATCCTCTCGATGACTGCAAAAATAAACATTTTGATTTTGAATTTGTATGGTTTACCATGAGATTTATAAGCTTATAACTGTCTTACCGTAACCACCTCAGACGACCACAGCCAGAGAGTAAGGACGGCCACTATTAGACCGTCTCGGGGTGCTTACGACCAACAAAAAACACGACATTGCCTCTCACCACGACAAGTCTGTCGCGTGACACTAGAGCCTCTGATGTTGATGCCTCTCGATGGTCTTGTCTCTCAAGTCTTCCTACTTGGGAACCTGTACACTGAACATTGCTGCCTTCAACACTGCCAGTGTATCCTCAGGATGGGTATAGGGGTCCACAGCTAGTCACTCGATGGGTATGGGGTCCACTACCATCCTAGGATGGGTATGGGGTCCACTACCACCCGTAGGATGGTTATGGGGTCCACTACCAACTGATGGATGAGTATGGGGTCCACTACCACCCCTAGGATGGGTATGGGGTCCACTACCACCCGTAGGATGTATATGGGGTCCACTACCAACTGATGGATGAGTATGGGGTCCACTACCACCCCTAGGATGGGTATGGGGTTCCACTAACGCCCACCTATGTGCGGTACTGGACCCCATACCAATCCGTTGGATGGTAGTGGACCCTGTACACATCCTATGGGCGGTTGTAGGCTCCAGACCCATCCTACTGGTATCGGACCCCTTACCCATCCTACTGGTAGTGGACCCCTTACCCATCCTGTGATGGTAGTTGACCACATACCCACCCTTTGGGCAGTAGTCGACCCCATACCCAACCTGTGGGTGGTAGTGATCCCCGTAGCCATCATGTGTTTTTTTTTTTATTATTATTATTATTTTCTACCACAGACGTGGTCACACATTTACAATGCTAACCAGCATATATACATTTTCTTCTGTCCTCCATGGACAGAGTTAGAGAAGTGTTAAACATATAGTTCAAGGGTTTATTGAACACTCAACCACAGAAGGTGATTCGGTGCTTTTAAAATGCTAAGCTAACCTACATACGTAAATACATAGATACACAGATTTACATATGCCCTACATAAAGTGTTTGATGTGTCTTTTACATAGTATCATTAATGTACATTCACAAAAGTGAAATGTAATTCTGATCAGCTTCCATATATACTTTATACCCATACATATACATACACACACATGCATTCACATACATTTCTCTCATTTACTCTGACAGGGTGAGATAGCTGAT